CTGCTTCCCTCGCGGCTCTCCTTCGTCGTCTTGCTTCGTAGCCCCTCAAACGACAGATCTGAGGTATAACGAGCAATTTTCTTCTTCTAATCCCAGATATGAGGGAGCTTATGGGTTTTTTTAAATGTGATGTTTTCTCTTCTCATCTCCTTCCTATTTCTGTGATTTTTTGTTTATTCCTTCTAAAGATGTGGTGGATCTGTACATTAGCGCATGGAACCTATTTGGTTTTTTACCAGTTGCTTCACTAGGGTTTTGCATTTTCTTTACCTTTTTGTTTGAGTCATTCTTGTTTATTCCATCTAAACAAGAATGGAATAAGTTAGTGGTTGATTCACTGATGTAGTGGTTTTTTTTCATGCCTTTTCTTTCCCTTCTCGATGGATTTGTACATTGTACATTAGTTAGTGGTTGATTCCTCACTGATGTTTTGCTCTGAGACACATTTGTGGAAGTTATGAAAGGCACTAACACCTCTAGAATTATTCTTATGATCTGGATTTCTGTTTTTTTTCAGTTTTTGATTGTTACTGTAGATGGAGCTGAGAACATTGCACTGGCACTTTTACTACCAGCTTTCAGTGTTTAGGGCTTTCAACTAACTATGTTTTATTTTTCAATTCTGGGGGACTGATTTTTTTATTTTAAATTAGGTATTAAGGAATGTAACATGATCTATTTTTTAAGAAAGTGTTACCTTTCTGGTTGGATATTCTACGAGTGTCGTGCAAGTTAATTGCAACTTTTGTGTGATGCCATTGATCCAGGAGGATTAGAATAGCTGGCCATCAGCCTAGCGATAAGGTAGGAATAATAGCTTTCAGGCCAATTCAAGGAAGTATGCTAATGAGAGGTGACATTTTATATATTGTATATCTGATGTAAGTTGTGCATATGTACAACAAAGGAGTCCTTGTTGATATGCTTCAAAAATTTCAGCTAGTATTTCAATAAAATATTGCATTTGTTTCCCGTGGACGTAGGTCAGTTGACTGAACCATGTAAATTTCTGTGCTCTCTTATCTTTACATTTCTTGTTTGATTTATTGCTTGCAACGTGTTTATATCTATTCTTTCATTTGTTTAGCAATTTAATGTTTAAATTAATTCGTTATATTAATTCATGTTGAATGTTATTTTTTGGTGGCATTATTAGCATGACTAATAAAAACAAAAAGGTTGCCACTCCTGCACTTTGGGAGAAGGACACCAAATTAATATTATGTGACATATGCATATGTGAAATTGATAAGGGAAATAGGCCAACAACATTTTTCAATAAGGAAGTTTGGGATAACATCGTTAGCAAATTCAAGGAGATGACAGGTAGGGAATATGATAGACTCCAATTGAAGACTAAATGGGATCAGCTTAAGAAAGATTGGAAACTGTGGAGTGATTTGAAGTGTGGCTCCACTGTATTAGGATGGGATCCGGTGAATAGAACAATTGAGGCGTCAGATGAGTGGTGACAAGAAAGGCTTGCGGTAAGATATTATTGAGTAATTTTTTTTAATTTTAATAAGTTCTATTTTTTATTTCTAATAACCTTTTTTTCTCTTTTACAGATTGTTCCTGCGGCAAAGAAGTTCAGATTGGCTGGGATTGAACCAGAATTGGAGGACAAGTTACAAATGATGTTTGGTGGGGTGGTAGCTACAGGGAAATTTTCAGCTGCCCCTACCGAAACAGTTTTTGAAACAACCCTCGAGAATGTGGCCGTGGAATTGTCAAATGATTCTGCAGAATTCCGCAGTGTTGAGCCACCTGAAATTCAATCCATCAACCGTGCGAAGTGCCCCCGGAACGAAAACAAGAGAAAGAGTGGACCTGCATCTATGAGGGAGCAGCTCTCATACCTAGTGGACTCATCTAATGATGCCCCTCACATAGTTCAAAAAACCTTGGTTCATGAGGTCATTGAACTTCTTGAAGAAGAATCAGAATTTACAGGGGAACGTGATCTTTTCTACTTTGTTGTAGACCTCTTTTGTGATTCCCTCCATCGAGACTTCTTCACAGCACTGAGCAAAGAGTGACGACTGGAATACATACGCTATTATTATAACCATCGTGACTTGTGAAGTTGACCTCCTCATTAGTTGACATTGTGATTGTTTATGATTTGATACTAGACTGATGCACTTCATTCCATCTATGATTACTCCTGAATGTAGGCTTTTTCATTTGTGGTTGTTCGTCATTTTTATGAAACTGATTTACTTCATTCCAATGAATGTTTAAGTTATTTGTTTTCCAATTATAGTTCATATGTGTGGTTGTTTTATTCCATCTATGAGCTTAACTGTATTTCAAAGTATAATGTATAGTTCATATCGTCATGGACCCAGAAGTAGTCCGACGCCG